CTATAAAAAAAATGAAAAGGAGCCCTGTTGTGGAATTTAAGCCGGTCCAGCTTGGTAAATCTAGCCCGTCTGACCTATAATGTAGAATAGGGTCATAGGGCTCATAAATATACATCCGCTACAAGAAAAACTATATATAACATTTTCAAAAAGGAAATATGGAATAGCGTATTTACTTTTAGCGTAAAAAGGTCACAACTTAGATGTGAAACTAAATGTTTGGGTCGTTTGATACTATAACACCAATCATTTTTAGTATAAAGAGGTCACTGTTAATTATCCCATATCAAATCCAACAGCTTGCGTATGACTAGAAATTCTAGAAATTTTCATTTAAGCTTTAACTTTGTTCATTGGCACATCCCAAGCCACTTGATTTTAAATTTAATGGCTATTAATGATTATTATTACTTTGTACCAAAAATAAATAGTCTTATTATATACTTTTCCCCACTGGTATTCACTAAGCTTAGACACCAATAAAATTTCTCTTGAACTTTGTTTCACACCCTTGGCCACTTGGGATTCTTCGATATTAAACATAAGTCATCTTATGGCATACAATAACTGAATTTAGGGGATGTTTGGTACATGTGAATGTTTGACAGAAAAATATTTCAATATGCAAAAACTTTACAGGAAAAATTACTTAAGCACGCTTTTTTGCATGTTTGGTAAGCACAATTGGAATAAGAGAGAGAGAACACAACAAACTTGAAATTTTGAGAGTCTCTTTGAATTTTTTGAAATAATTTCTCTCTAAAAATTAAAATTTGATGCAGTTTCTCTCACTAATAACTTTGAAAGTTTTTTCTCTCTAAATCGTAATTTTTAATATAGCTTCTTTATCCAAAATTTTTGAGAGAGTTTCTCTTTCTAAATATTTGAAATTTGAGATAGCTTCTCTCTTTAAAAACATTGAGATAGTTTCTCTCAAAAAAATTTGGGATAGTTTCTCTTTAAAACATTTTAGATAGTTTCTCTATGTAAAATTTGATATAATTTTTCTCTCTAAAATTTTATTATACTTTCTCTATCTAAAACTTAAAATTTGAGATAGTTTTTTTATCTAAAAATATGGAGATAGTTTCTCTCTCTAATTTTTTTTAAGTAGTTTCTCACTCTAAAATTGGATTAGTTCCTCTCTTTAACATTTGAAGATAATTTCTCTCTCCAAAAATTAAAATTTTATATAGTCTCTCTTTCTAAAAATTTAGAAAAAGTTTCTCTCTAAAATTTTCAGTTAGTTTCTCTCTAAAATTTGATATAATTTATATATATCTAAATTTTAATATACTTTCTCTCTCTAGTTTAAAATTTGAGATAGTTTCTATCTAAAATTGGCTATAGTTTATATCTCTAAATTTTAATGTACTTTATCTCTCTAAAGCTTAAAATTTGAGATAGTTTTTCTCTCAAAATTTGTTGAGTGTCCCTCTAAAAGTTTTCAGCTACTTTCTCTCTTTAAAGCTTAAAATTTGACATAGATTTCCACTCTAAAAATTTTAAGATAGTTCCTCTCTCTAAATATTTTCAGATACTTTTTTTTTATAGAACTTTTTTTTATGGAAACTTAGACCTTAGCTGGGGCACAAATGGTGCTACCACCAAATTTTCAGATACTTTCTCTCTCTAAAATTTGATATAATTTCTCTCTCTATCATTTTAAGATAGTTTATCTCTCTAAAACTTAAAATTTGAGATAGTTTCCGTCTCAAAATTTTTGAAACAATTTCTCTCTAAAATTAAATATAATTTTTCTCTCTAAAATTTGAAGATATTTTTCTCTCTCTAAAACTAAAAATTTGAGATAATCTCTCTAACTCGTGGGGGTGCTTTATCAGAACTAAGTGTATTTTGATAAAGTGAGCAGCTATGGTTTGCCAAAATAAACCCACATAAGTATTTCCCTCCCCACCTCAAGAGATGCCGCTCTATTTTTACATGAATATGTAAAGTTTTTTATCATAGAAAGATTTTCATATGCATTTGTCGCATAACAAATGTGCATAACATAATTTTCACATAAAAGTATTGCATAAAAATATTTTAAAACAGACCCTTTTCCGTTTTGATATTGATCTACTCATCTTTGCTTGGTAAAGAAGCAAAATGTAGAAGATGAGAAGTTGGTAATATATCTTAGGTTTTTGAACTGCACGTGCCAAACCCACTACAGTTAAATTGACACGCGTGGGAGCCTGTTTAACGAACTGAGTAATGTACGTGCGTTCTCTTGGTGCTTTATTCGAAATCTCGGTCCTCACAAAAGCAAATTCTTTCCCACGTATAAAGGAGAAGCACATCTGAGCATTAAATTCATAAGAACCCATGTTCAGACAAACTACCCAGAATACCCCTGTCAGTTTTCAGGAATATCCGTGAGGCCAGTAGTGCTTTCCTTTGGACCACGTTGACCATATTGACCACGAGTTTATGAAACGGGTTCAGAAACGTATCGAGGATGCCCATTTGACATCAAAGAATATCAAAATAGTCCCTTAATCAGGATAGGGGCTGCGTCGAGGTAGTAGCACCCCCAACACTCAGTTATCACATCTACTTATACTTATACTCATACTTTAAAAAAAATAAAAAAAAAAGAAGAAAGAAAAAGAAAGCTAACTCTCTAATTTATATAAAAATAATGGGTAGGGACTTTTCATCCCAACTGAATTACCACAAAAAATAAAATAAAATAGCCCCTTAATAGTTGTTGGGTGTGGTTTGCATAGAGCCGAGGCTTTAAACAATCAAAGTAAAGCACTACTTCAAATAGCGTTGTGAAATTGGTTTCAATACTGGAAATATTTGTGATAACCTTAAAATATATTTTCAACTCTAATTATAAAATTTAAAGCTTAAAAAATAGTGTAGATAGAGCAGATGTATGAAAACTTGAAAATCTTGAAAAAAGACGGTCCAAAAATGTATTACAAGATGCACTATTTCCAAAACTTGAAATCCATTTTTTTTTTCTCATGTCGGTGCATCTTGACGCCTAGATGATCAATTTGAGGATATTTGGGCATCAAAACAAACTCTTCTAGTAAAATTTTTGAGGTTTTTTCTTTTAAAAAAACTACCTCCCTAATCTATATCAAAATAACAAGTGGGGGCATGTCTTCCCCATTGAATTACCAAAAAAAAAAAAAGACCCTCAATAGTTGTTACTCTCTTTTAGGAGGAGGTGATTTTCGCAAGTAATGTTATAAATTCTCTTGGAATTGGATTGGCAACCACGTATGAGTTTTGAAATGGAAAATTCTCCATAGTTTTAATTTGGCTATCAAACTTACAATGTACGTTGATACATTGAATTTAAAATCCACTTTTGCATGTTACAATAAAAATATTCGAGTTGGGTAGGAATCATCCGATTCAGATCGAAATTGGGCAGTCACCTATTCTGATACCCTTCAACGGCTGATGTGCCCATGTTTTCATAAGTTGTCATGTTCACTGTAGATGATTTTTGGCAAAAAGAATCAATAAATGGGCCAGTTTTTGAAAAAATCACCAAATTTCCCCATCTTTCTTTTTCTTTTGGTTTAGTTAATGTTCCCTTTGGAAACATGGTTTTTTATGCTTTGATCCTATCTAGAAAGCATTCTTTGTTTGAATAATGGTATTTGAATTCAAATTTGCATGAAAATCCATTTATCTTTTCTATTTTTATGAGTGTTTAGGTTTAGGGACTCGTCAGAGTAACTCAGTCTTGACACCTTGTCTAGGCAAGTTTATATGCCCACATTCCCTCAAAATCCCTTAAAACACACACAGATATATATTCTATTGTTTTGTTAACAATATTATTCTACTTTATTTCTAAAACATTTAGATTCTTGCTTCTTTCGAAATAAATTTGGCATCACCAAGTCCAAAGTCTGTGATTAGAGATTTTGGTTCCACTAAGGAGGGAATCCTGACTGGGGGTAAATTAATCATTTGAAAAGCTATCTATTCCTGTCCTATCATTAGTTTTAGTTTTCTCGTGCTCTCTTCTCCTTTGAAAGCGCAAGGGCACGTCTTATATTCCAAGCATAAACATTTTTACTCAGTCATTTTCCTCTGAACTTTGATGCTTCTGATGCAAACTCAAACGAAGAAAACACATAATACTCATCTTCTCGAGAGTGAACAAAGAATCTCTCTCTCTCTCT